ATTTGTCAGATCAACCGAATTGGTGCATATATAGCAAAAACCGATAAGCATGCCGTGATATTTAGCCCTATAAAGTACTTCCATACCGCATGGTCTCACACTTCAGAGGCAATTCTGAAACCCCTACAGTCTCTATTTAAGAAAACTCTGAAAGTTCTTGACAAAAACCCTTTATGTTCTAATTATTGTAACATTTTAAGTAAGAACAACATTTTAAACTTTTAACGTCAGCAGAATAGACTTGCTCCTCTAACAGATTTTATATATATAAAAAAACATTACTAGCATAAACAGCAGGGCTGTAACCTAAGGAGTCTGTAATGTTCAGCGGCGTAGGACCAAATTTGGCCAAACGGTTGCATCCATCAGAGGCTCTGTCATGGCAACTCATGTTAGGGGCTGTGCAATACGTTTTTTAAATCTCCTTGAAATATTGGTTAAAAACAAACCAGACATGTTCACAGGGGGAATTACCTGTTTCCTTAGGCTGTTAACCTCATTTATTATGAGTTCATGTTATTGGCATCTTATCTGCTTGTCTCCACTCTGTTCTCTCCTGTAGTTACTTGTTTAACGTTCACTGTTTTTACCTGCCTTAGGACAGCAAATGCAAATTAACTGTTTTCCTAATTCTCCCATATTTACATTGATGCTTTAAGCGTACATGTTGATAAATGTGTGTTAAAGATGGCTCTGTGTATGCACCTTGAAGCTCTATCTCTCCGGTTCTTTTTCCTGTAAAGAGATCACTAGGGAAAAACTCATTAAATAGTGCTTTATAACTTATATGTATTAAATAACCAGGAGACGTGACAACAGATTTTGATATATATTGTAATCTTACAGGTTTCAGAATTAATAAAGTGTATTTACTCAAAATAAATACTGATTGGTGTATTTTAAATACATACATTTTATTGTTTGAAGTGCATTATAATTAGGGTTATCTTAATGCAATTCAAACAATAAACTTAAACTATTTGGAATAAATACACAAATAAGTATTGATGTGTTTCACAATAAAAGTTGTCTAAGTCATTATGGTAGCCTCATAAGTGAAATTTACTAATACTAAATACATAAAACTAATTATGTATTTCCAATATATAAGGGAATTTTTTATTTAATAAAATTACATAAATTTGTAAATGTGTGAAATTTTTTTGAATGTAGATGAAAAAAAAAATCGATTTGAGCTCAAATCGTGTTTTTAACATTTAAAGATTCAGAATCGATTCTCATTTTCTTTAAAAACGATTTTTTTCTTTGTGGGTGTGGATCTGCCTTACCAGGCACCGTAGTGTTTGGCGAAACCAATGAGCAGCGTGAGCTATGCACAGGCATGCAAGCGTTAGACTGGCAGGCTACAAAGTGATGTGTTGTGTGAGCTACTGTATTTGTTGCCGCTAAAGTATGGAGGATGAAGAAAAAGAAATTCAACCGCCTCCACGATCTTTAAAAGCAACCATTTGGAAACACTTTGGATTTTACCTTCAACCCCGCCCGGGTAAGAAAGGGCTTTGCAGAGATTGCAACAGTAAAGTTAAGTATTTCAGGAGTACTTCAAATCCCCGTTCTCATCTCGAAAGACATCACCCAGAGTTGGTGGTAGAACTAAGACATGTTGTCTTTATACCTTTCTGTGTTTACATTATTGCAAAAGGTAAATGAAACATTTACAAATATAAAGTCTTTATAAATTTATTCTTCTTTCATGCCAGCAGACTGGAATAGATCCTGAGAATTGTTTTGAATCATACCGTATTTTCACGACCATAAGGCGCACCGTACTAAAAGGCGCACTCTCAGTTATGTGTCCCATTTCTGTATTTAACACACACATAAGGCGCACCGGACTATAGGGCGCGTTTTTTATATACAGGTACATGTCCTCTACTACCTTTAAATACCTCTACTGCGTATTTAAAAATACAGCGGGGGCAAAACTGAGTATGACTGTGCTTTATTCATGTATTTATTACAAAGTATTAATCAAACCTGGGTGCTGGCCATGAGACAGACACATCGCAGATGACACAGCGCTGTGATTACTCCTAAATTAACTTAAAATCCTGAAACCTGCCGACGGAATTTGTTCGCTTTTATTACCGGTATCCTGGTGCCTGCAGTTAAAATTATTTAGATGAAAAACACCTGCCAGCCACCGCGGTGAACCTGGAGGCTACCCGGCCTAGAGGCTGCTGATGAAAGGATTTCTACTGTCGGTGCACCGCTGGTATGTGGGGGTCTGAGCGCCTCCGACAGAAATAGATAATCTGGATGAACTGACTGCAATTATGAAGTTTTCAGGTGGACTTTCTCACTTAAAAACATATTAAAACTACTTTATTCCCAATGATCACAGCAAATATAGCTGCAAGATTTAGATTATTTAGATGAAAAAACACCTGCCAGCCGCCGCGGTGAAGAGGAGGAGACCCGCCCAGAGGCTGCTGTTGAATTAAGTTTTCAGGTAGAAAAATAGAGCGGGAGCAAAACTGAGTATGATTGTGCTTTATTCATGTATTTATTACAAAGTATTAATCAAACCCATTAAAGTCATCATCCTCTGTTTCTGAATTAAACAGCTGCGCTAAATCAGACATGCCAATTTCCCCTTCTTCGCTGTCAGAGCCACTTTCCGTGCCGGGCGGCTCCTCAGAAATAATAAATAAAAAAATAAAAAAAATAAATTTTGCGAAAGCTTGAACAACAGAGCCAGCAGACACGTTAGGCCAAGCTTCTACAATCCATCCGCAAACGGTGGCGTAACTTGCCCGGCGCTGCCTTCCACTTTTCCTGAAACTGTGGTCTCCGTCTGTCATCCATCGCTCCCACGCCGCTCGCAGCCTTACTTTGAACAGCCGGTTCACACCGATGTCAAGCGGTTGAAGTTCCTTTGTCAGACCCCCCGGGATAACGGCGAGCACAGCGTTCATTTGATTCACCATGTTTTTCTCATCAGCTGTGAGATGGGCACGCATGGAGTCACAGATTAACTGCGATGGTGATGCGTGGAAAAAAACACCTGTTCTCCTCACATACACCTGCCTCAGCCACGCTTTCATCATCTCCTCATCCATCCAGCCCTTTTCATTTGCGTTAATATCATATGTCATCAGAGCGATGTGTCTGTCTCGCTGTCAGCTCCCAGATCAGCTTCTCTGATTGGTTGATGCGGCGCGTCCAGCAGCAAAACTTCAATTTTTCCATCTCGAGCAGCAGCAGCTCGTTGGCAGATGCGGGACCTTTTGCTGCACTTATACGCGCGTCAGCCATTGACTTGGCATGTAAACTCGCTGCTTCTGCTGCACCTGCTGGGTCCGGTTCACACCGATGTCGAGCAGTTGAACAGCGAGCACAGGGTTAATTTGTTTCCCCATGTTTTTCACATCAGCTGTGAGATGGGCACGCATGGAGTCACATATTAACAGCGATGGTGATGAGTGGAAAAAAAACACCTGGTCTCCTTACATTCAGCCACTCTTTCATCATCTCCTCAATGAGGTGGTCTCAAAAGTCACAGTTACAACACACATAGGGCGCACCGCACCAAAGGGCGCACCGCACATTTTTAGGGAAAAAAAAGACGTTTAAGTGCGCCTTATAGTCGTGAAAATACGGTAAATTAATCGTTTCTGAATCGAATCGTTTGGATTAAAAAGAATCGGAAAAAAAATCGAATTGTGACCCCAAGAATCGATTCTAAATCGAATCTTGGGAATCCCAAAGATTCACAACCCTAGTCCAGAGGCTAGATGCACTAACAGGAGACAGGCCAGTAAATCAGGGGACGTGGAGGAGGCTGTAGGAGGGCAACAACTCAACAGCAGGAACGCTACAGACTCCATTAGGAGAATATGAGGGCCCGACATCCACAAATGGGGGTTGTGCTCACAGCCCAAGACCACGTTGGATGCTTTGCATTTGCTAGAGATCACCATGATTGGCAAATTCACCACTGGCGCCCTGTGCTCTTCACAGATGAAAGCAGGTTCCTCCATGTGCTCACCAGAGGTAGCATGACTGCCATTGGGTACCAAGATGAGATCCTAGAACCCCTGTGAGACCATCTTCTGGTGCAGAAGATTATCAGGGCAATGCTACACCTCATGTGGCTGCAGTGTGTCAGCAGTTTTGCATGATGAAGGCATTGAAGCTATGGACTGTCCCGCCCATTTCCCAAACCTGATTCCTTTGAGCACACCTGGGACATTATGTCTGGATCCGTCCGCCAACATCATGTTCCAACACAAACTGGACAGCAGTTGGCGGATGCTTTAGTCCAGGTCTGGGAGGAGATCCCTCAGGAGACCATCCACCACCTCATCAGGAGCATGCCCAGGCGTTGTAGGGAGGTCATACAGACACGTCAAGGCCACACACAATACTGAGCCTCAATTTGAGGACATTGCATTAAAGTTGGATGAGCCTGTAATGTTTTTCCAATTTTATTTTGTGTTTGACTCCAATTCCAGTCCTCCATTGGTAATAAATTGGATTTCTGTTGATGCTTTTTGTTTTCAGCATATTCAACTTTGTACAAAACAAAGTCTTCAATGTAAATATTTCAATGATTTAAATATGGGATGTGTTATTTGAGTGTTCCCTATATTTGTTTGAGCAGTGTATATTTAATCACCTTATTTCCAACAGCATTGAACCAATTTCTTTAGATCAATCAGTGCAAAATATGAAAGATTTACCTCATTATTTACTCAAACTGCACCAACCGACTTGATTCTTTTTTAGATTTCAGCTTTGCAGGTTTACCCTGAAAGCCACCCACTCAGTGAAGCTTCAAATCCACTACATCCTTTACCAATTTAAACTGGGCTTCACAAGTGTGATAAAAATCAGAGTATTAAGCTGCGTTTAGAAAAGCTTCTGGCCACAACCCTAAGCTGATTTTTATCTCTTTGGTTGCTGTGGCAGCGGGCACCCCTTATCCATCCACATCCTTGAGGCCAAAGGTCCTTGGGGTCGCACAGAGGTTCAGGTCAAGCAAGCAGGTTAAACACCTTGTCAGGGATTAGCAGGCTCTGAGGGAGGTGGAGGAAGTCTTCATTGGCTGATATCATTTTCTGCAGCCGAATGAAGCACCTCCAGGACACACACAGACAATCTAACGCAGGCTGAAACACTTACACCTCACATCAACACCGCCTTTGTGGGCCAGATACAATAAGCCGACAGAGTGAGAGATCAGATAAACGCAGATGCAAATCTCTGGATGTCACCAGCACTCATTTAAAACTGACAGAAACATAAGACACATAATCCAAGATAAGTTACAGTAAAAACACTGATAACCTGCAAACATGTTTAAATGTGGCCTGATTTAAGGGAAAGCAGAGCTCTTATAGAGCAAAGATCTTATTGTAATTTAATTCAGGAGGGGAAAAAAATCGATCCTATACTGTGCATTATGAAGCAATCTGAACAGGCTCTCAACCTTCAGTCTGGTTCAACTGAACCGATTTCTGCACCAGCATTTTGAGCCAAATTAATAGTTCTGACATAAACTAGTTCTTACAAATTCTCATAACATCTTTTCTTAAATTAAAACGTATTTAATAATGACTGAATTTCCAAAGCAACTTTTTCCAAAAATGTAAAAAAAAAAAAAAAAAAAAAATCCACTGGTCTTTGTTTCCAAGTTTGTAGACGTTTCACTTCCCATCCAGGAACCGTTTTCAATTCAAAATGTCAGAATTAGCGTTGAGTTTGAGGCTTTATAAAGTAGCCCAACAAAGCGTTGTTTTTCGTTAGAAACATGCAAATTGAAAAGGAAGAATGGGTCCACCACTTTGGAATGCGGGTCGTTTGGTTTCTTCCGTTTGGCTGCAATGCCCCATACCTGTCTATGTCTCTGAAAGGGGGGTCATTTAAGGGAATTGTTGGCCTGGGTGAATGACAATCTTTACCAATATATTCCAAAGCAGCTGCTGTCCATCACATTTTTCAATATTATGACAAATAAGGAGAATAAAAGGCGGAATTTTGTCTGCAAAACATTGATTTAGGCTTTGCTTTTTACCTGTGATGACATTACAGTAAAGCCTCTTATAACAATCAAGTCAGTCCTTTGTTTTTGGTTTATCTTTTCACCCTCTAAGCTTTAATCAAAAACAAACACACAAACAAAGACACATTAACATTGAGTGACTCAAAATAACTTAAATATGTTTTTTTGTTGTTTAAATAAAAAATGGCATCTTGGCACCTCTAGCAGAGATAAAAACAGATAAAACCTACTATACTTACAGTACTTGGTATAAGGCATTTTTTTCTAACATTCTTTTAAGTCTTTTCTAGTATTTGTAGGACAAGAACTAAATATCAGTCTCATCTCAGTAGATGAGTCTAGTTAGAGTCAAAGTAACTTTTAATAAACTCTGTAAATCTTTGTGTGAACAAGATAGAAGAAGATGTCTTTCAGCACGAAAATTCTTACAAGCACTTACCTGTTTATACAGATCAACACAGTTCATATGTTTTTATGCCTTTTCCATTTTGCAGAATAAATAAAACCACTTGGAGAAATGTATTCATATTAAATGCAAATGTTAAATACACTGTATTGCATGCATTGCATTCCTGTACTGGATGGTTACAAGCTATTATTTCATTATTTTTCTCAAGAAAGAAAAGCATTCAACAAGACGTTTTCTAACTTATTTAGAGCGAGATTACGCTGCTACAATGAAATATTCATTTGGAGGTATTTTACATATACAAGTAATTAAAAATATCAAAGTATTTTTCACCAATAAATTTAAAATATTTCACTTGCATGGACTGATACCTAACATGTAATATTAATACAAATTAGTTTCTGCTACAAATGGGTGTTATTTTTACCTGTGAGAGGTGAGTGGGGTGAATCTAATGAGTCTGACGGTCGATCCAAAGACAAACTGGAGGCTGAAAGAGGAGCGATGACCTCCAAGTCATCAAACAGCTGAGACTGAGTGCAGCTGACCTCAGAGCAGCCTGATGCTGCTGAGAAACCTGTAAAAAAGACAGAGGGGATGATATTTGGTGACAGAGCTCCATTTTCCTTATGGAATCTGCTTTATTTCACAACAAATTAGCTGATTTTTTGCTCACATAAACAATTCTAATAAATGCATGCTTGGAAAATACTGATAATATAACATTATATTCCTCCGACACATGAACATATGAAGTCACAAGCATAAAGAAACCAGCCATGTGAAAAAGTAAGCCCCTGAGGCCTCGACTTTACACCTGACTCGAATGAAAAAGTTCAAAACTTCCTAAGCTTTTCTCTCCCTGCCTGGTTTGGAAATCAGGGGATTACTTTGTGCAACAGTGTCCCTGGGAGGTGTGTGTTGTGTTGCAAAGAAAGAGACCTGTTGGGGCTTTTCACACATTAGATATGCAGACCAGCTTGCTCCGGACAAAAGGATAATATGTACAGTTTCCAAAAGGAAAGGCAAGCGCAGGTCCTTTTGGGCCTGCCCACATGGACGACTACAACTTTCACATGAAGCCAGCTTCACCCAGTGGAGTATGTGGACGGCGTTGCACACGCACCAATGCACTGTTTGTGCTCTTGAGCGACTTATGCTCCACTCAGAGAGACAATGGAGGGACTCCACTTGACACTTCAAAACATATTGCTGTTGTCAACTGGCCTGCCAGTCTCAGGCGACAAGGGTTGGACTGAGACAGGGTGAGTTTTTCGGGGAGGTTAAGGGGGTTGGTGTGAAGGACAACGCCTCCTCTGTGTGCCTGTAGACGTCTCTTTGCCAGGCTGAAAGGCTCCTGATCGCACAGACCCAGCGAAGCCACCACAGTACCCTAGTTCATTGTTGTAGAAAGTCAAACTCCAATCATTGGTGTTCAAAACATGTCAGTTTGGGGTCGGTATAACATCATCAAAACAATCAGAGAAAATGGAGATTGAAAGATTAAGGCCTGGATAGACACTTGCTCTGTGTCTGCTGTGAAGAGAACAGCGTGCTGCGATACAGCATGGGCCCCCCTGCAGCACAGCACCGCACAGAGAACAGTAGATGTCTCTGACAGAAAGGAGAAAAATCCCCACACAATTTCCACATTGTTTGCTTTCTTTCATAAAGTTCCCGGAGAAGTCAGATGTCACTGGCCCTGTCTTTTATCCGCATTGGGAACGGTAAATTAGCAGCCGCAGGAAAGCCACTGAGGTATTCCATTGTGGTGGTTCGGCTCAGTGATGTGCAGCGGTCAGTGTGGATTTATGACCATCGGCAACACGTCTCCCTCTCAGGGATTAGAGAATAGAGAAAGCATCAGGGAATCCAGGCTGAACGGGAGAGACCCCTGACTTCAAATCTTGGGGCCTCATGCCTTCAAACAAAATGAAATGGAACTCAGCTTTTCATCTTTTCCATTTCTGACAGGGAGGGAAAAGAAAAGCAGTTTATTATTTTACAGAACTAGGAGGAAAAAAATGTTGTAGGTGGCAGGAGCTTCTCATCAAGGATTCAAGACTTTTAGCAAATCGATGTTAAGCTACGTTCAGGATAATCAAGCTAAGTTCTCACCTCTGTTGGGGGAGATGGGAGGCAGCACAGGCCAGCGGTGTGAATCCAGCCTAGATAGGGGAGGAGATGTTAGCTTTACTCCAGATCCTGAATGTGGAATGGTCCTGAGTGGGCTTCGACATGTAAACCCACGCTCATCCAACTCTTCATCAGCAGACAGGGCCAAATCGGTGACATGCTCTCTGGACGTGTCTACTTTGGCACTTCCTATACTTTTTGCCACCATCTTGCTGCTTTTGGGCTTATCTGATTTAGGTTCAGCTTCTGGTGTCAGAGAAGATGAGCATCTTTGGAGGATTTCATCAGAAAATCGCTCAGGGAGTGAAGGTGCGGATTCACAGGTGCTGCTCTTCAACATTTGTTCCTCTAATGATTTTGTTGGTGTAAAAGAGAGGAGTGGCGGCTGCATCGCTGGAGAAAGTGCAGACTGCAAGGAACCAATGCTCCTCTCAGGAGAAGAATCAGCTACAAATCAAGAAGAACATTTAAGATAATATTATGGAACATTAAAGGAAAAGTCCGGTCAGTAAGGAATAATCAATGGCAGAGGTGGAAAGTAACGAAATACATTTACTCAAGTTACTGTATTGAGTAGGTTTTTTGTGTATTTTGTATTTTTCAAGTAGTTTTTAAAATTGGTAATTTAAATTTTACTTGATTACGTTTTGAGTGAAGTATTGTATTTCGTTAAATTACAAATCCATTACTGAGTAAAAAAAAACTTTGGGAATCCGAAAGAAGACAAAAAGTCGGGCCCGGAAGCACTACAGTGAGTGACGTGATCAGCATGTAGATCTAGGCTACCAGGCGCCAAGTCTTTCTGTAGGAAATTGGGAACGAGATGGAGGTGGATCAGGAGAGCAACGACGGTTCAGAGAACGTTTCACTAGAAATGCTAGCTGAAACATCGAATTCTGCTTCCCAAAACGATGAAAATCCTTGGCCTTAAATGGGTCTTAAATGTCATGTGTGACATGTGTTATCTTGTCATTACACGTGTATACATTTGTATAGATTTTTCTTTAATTAAAAACTAAATAGTTTTGGATTTATGACTCCTTGTCATATTTTCACTACATGGGAGAGATCCCCTGCCCCGTTCAACAGTTTTTTTTTTTTATGTAACTAAGTAACTTTAACTTAAAAAACATTTTAAATTAGCTACTTATTACTTTTACTTGAGTAATTTTTCTGATGGGTAATTTTACTTGTACTTGAGTAATATTTCATCCAAGTATTGGTACTTTTACTTGAGTATGATATTTTAGTACTTTTTCCACCTCTGATCAATGAATCATTATTTATACCTAAAACTAATATGTTCGCAGTGATTTAATGAATTAAGCGTTAATCAGTAAAAAAAAGGAAAAACAACAATTCTGGTTGTGATCACCGAGTCCAGGAGCGGCCATTTTTGCCCAAATATAGTAACACCTCCTGACATCGTCCGGCAGTGATGTGACGGTGCGGTAAGACTAGCGTCATTCTCCCCGCTTTACAAGCACAATCAATGGGAACTACTAGACACATCTGCAGTCAACAACAATTATTGAAGATTTCCAGAGGACTTCACCATTGAAATTCTCGAGAGCTATATTTAAACTAACAATGCCCACGTGCATGGCAGTTGGATGTTGGAATAAATCGGGGAAAAGTGCCAAAAAAAAAAAGAGTTATTTCAACTTTCCGATTCCTGATCCTCCATGGACGGGTTCGTCGTTGGATCGCCAACTTGAAGAGGGAGGATTTGCCATCGAACTTCTGGCCAGAGAAAAAACACGTACCGGTAATATGTAGCTAACATTTCGAATGAAGAATGTTTTCAATATGGCTTAGATTTAGTGCGTTTTGACAAACACCAGATACAGCACTGGGACTTGATTAACAGCCGATACCGCACCATGACGTCACAAACCGACAGGTGGCAGTAGTGTTCTTTGACAAACATGGATGCCTCCACTATAGGTCATTCAAATTACTCTTAATTAAAGCACTTATTTATTGAACAGTATGTAATATCTCTAAGGGAGAGCCCAGACACGCTACAGTGAAAACTAATTTCAGCCGCTTGTATCCGGGATCTCGTTCTTTTGGTCATGAGTCATGACCCAAAGCTCATGGCTATAGATGAGAGTAGGAACGTAGATTGACGGGTAAATCGAGAGCTTTGACTTTCGGCTCAGCTCTCTCTTCAACACGACAGACCGGTACAGCGCACGCCTATCGATGTCCCGCTCCATCTTCCCCTCATTCGTAAACGAGACCCCAGGATACATAAACTCCTCCACTAGGGGGCAGTACATCTTCCCCAACCCGGAGAAGGCACTCTACCCATTTCCGGCTCAAGACCATGGTCTTAGATTTGAAGGAACTGGTCCTCATCATCGCCGCTTCACATTCGGCTGCGAACCGCTCCAGTGAGAGCTGTAGATCACGCCCTGATTATAACTGGGCTGCTCATTATGATAAAAGTTCCTTCATGCCCAGGTTTTGTTTTACTAAAGATGAGGACCAGAAATGTAACATAATCCAAGCTAATCAACAAAAAAATAAGGGAGATCATTGGCTGTAACTGGCATGAGGAAATAGGCTCAGAAAAAATTAAACAGAAAGATTTAAAAAAAACTCTTTATAATCTGGCTCGGTGGTTCTCCAGGGATCAATTAGGGTTTGCCTAAATATGATTTTGAACAGATCAGTGACCTTTAGTTTATATTATCAGGTAGTTCGTTATTTTAAGTAGAGTTATAAATTGTTTGGCTGTTTTTTAACACTTGATTTTTGTTTTTTATATATTAATAAATATGTAAAAATGGATGAAAGTGTCACTGTCCCCGTTTCCTATTTTAATGTTCATGATATGTATTTATTTTTATCTACGATCTGGAAATGTCCCCAGATTAAATTGCAGGAATCTGGTCACCTTAGACACGTTATCTAATGTATCTCATCTGAGAGGAATTTTCCTGCTTAAACAGCAAAAAAATGCTCTGTTAATATTTCTTTTATTTTCAAATGTAGCTTTATATGAGACCTTTAATATAAGTCAATACAGAGATGAAGAACGGATGACAGATACCGAGGAGGACATACAAAACGATTGGCCATTGTGCTCAGCGACCAGGCTAACCAACATCTAATCAATACCTTCTGATTCTGAATAATAACAAAAGTCCAAATAAACAGGTTGCTTGTTGTGTTTTTGATACATTTTTTTAAAAAGAAGACATGTTAGATTTAAATTTAGGATGTTTAAAGGCTCGAAAAAATGGTTGATCTTTAAGACTTTAGAGATACTGGGTGGCATTTAGAGGTTGTGCTATGTTAGCTATATATAAAAGTGATCCAATTACAGTGTGTGACTTATATTCAATGCCTTTGTACAATTTATATGTTTTAGAAAAAAGCTTAAGTTGGATTAATTCATAAATCCTACATGAATCATAAAGATCATTCAAAATAACCAGTTATGGATTGTTAGAGCCTAAATGAATGTTATGACTGTGAATGTTTACCAGCAGTGTGATCACTGAGGATGCTGCTCCTGCAACTGGCGAAGTCAGTGCTCCGACTGAACAAACTGGAAGATGGCCGGCTTAAATGTGAAAGAGACCCCAGAGAATGAGCAGTAGGTGATGCTGAATGTGATAATCCAGAATGCACGGAGTTAAGATCCCAGTCAGGCTCCTGGGGAACAGGTTGATATATAGTTTCCCTTTCAGGAACTTCATTTTGCTCAGGTTGAGGAGAAGCAAGGAGAGGAACAGGAGGACGAGGCTGCAATTTAGGAGGTGTGATGGAGCTTGGGTTGCTTTCTTGTTTTTTGAGGTCAAGGTGAGGCGTTTCGCTTTGAGACGTTGGATCACAGTCGGATGGAGATGGGGGCTGCGTATCAGGGATATGGAGACGAGGGAGAACAGCAGCATGCCGTCTTCTATTGATTGAATAAACACTTTGAGCACCATTCAGTCCTCCGCCAGTGTTAGAGTGATCTTTAATAGAAAAAAAAAATAGTGCTTTTACATAATTTTATACAAAAACTGCTCAGAAAGAAATACAGAGCTACTGGTTGTGATTTTCAGCAGCATCCTCTGTGCATGTTCATTTACACTTTTCCTCTGGTCAAGAACACACTTTGTTTCCCTGCTGAGTGGGTCGGGCTGCAAACAAAAGCAGCCCCACAGCAGCAGCTGCCACTTTCCCAACTCACCAGAGTAATCAAACCAGAGGGCAGCAGAGCCTGCAGACAAAACTTTACACCTCAGAGAAGCATTGTGTGGTAACACAGCTCCATACTTTCCATGCCTCATATTATTAATATGACTTATGGGGACATTTCAATGGCTTACATTTATTTTATATGGCCTTATCTAGACTCTAAGCCCTAAGCCTAACCATTACCAACATATACTGTAACCTGTACAGAATGAACACCCTCGTCTTTAGCCTAACCCCAACTCAAAAAAAGAACATTAGCATATTGGGACGAGGTTTTTGATTATCTATTTCACCTTTAATCCAGAGTTCCTTAACCCTGGTTGTCTTGGCCCACTGTCCAGGTGTTTTCCTGCTTTCACACACCTGACCTAAATAAAAAGATCATCAACAGGCTTTTGCTGTATTTGATAGCTGCCAAAGAGGTAACGCAATTGTTCGAATCAGGCGTGCTTGATTAGAGAAACATTTAAAACATGGACAGTGGGCCATGACGACCAGGGAAAAGAAAGCCTGCCGTAATCCATGCAACTCCACCCATTTCCTCTCAATCGTCCTAACTTTTTGTTGACAACTTCAAGTGTGTGTTGGAGGGTGTAGAGTATCAAACAATCTTGTCTCCTTGGGGTCTGTCTCTTAAAGGAGTCAACGTGGTGAAAGACATTTCTGCACTCTCTTTTACAATGCCCTGCCATTCCCATCTGTTACACACACGCACAACTGCGGGGTGAACTGTGTGTGTACTAATGTGCATATGAATGACGTGTCAGAGTGCAAAGCCGTGGCATTGGGCGCAGCACGTTTCTTTAGGGAAGGAGGGTCAAGGATGATTGTGAGGCAGCCAGCCACCATATGGCAAAATAATTAGTATTGGACCTAAGAGTTGAGAAATCCTCCTCTGCTCTACACACACACACAAAAACACACATTTTTATACACAGGACAGGCGAGTGAAAGAAGTATCCTACTGTGGAGCTGAGGTGTGAACACAGTAAAATGCCTTCACATCTGATGGCGGCGTTTGAAAGGAGCAGCAGGTCTCCCTAGATTTCAATAGAGAGCTCCATCAGTGGACCACCACGAGGGTGGCGCTGTGGGCACTTCCTTCAAGTAACACATGGGCTAGATTTAAACTTCACCAAACAGAATTAAAACTAAAAGATGGGGATTAAGATCCAAAACATGTCTGGTGGCCTCAATGCTGACTGCTAAGATTAGGAAAAAGGCAAAGAAATTTTTTAAAAGTTATCTTTGGATGAGCTGTAGATCTACTGGTGGAAAAGTCAGGTGGTTTTATAAACTTACTCTCTGAAAATTGGGTCTCTTTGGCAGGAGTCATGTTTAAACTCTGCATCTTCTTCTGAGGTGGAAGCTGCTGATGCTGCTTATTGTTAGGATGACAAGAAGAGTGGAAAACCTCGGGACGAGCTTTCATGTGGGACAAAAACCGCGGACACACAGATGCTGTATGATGAACCTGGTGATCACGGACCTGTAGTATGAGAACACACATTTCAAAACAAAAAGGTTTTGTTGTATTAAAATCTTCCTTTTATTCCTTCTTAATCTGACTTACTGGTATTTTGGATGAAAAATCCAACAAACCCAAACCCCCATTTATTGTAAAATAAAATAAGAATATTTATTACTTTTAGTCATTTTCCATTTTAAATTTCTAACTTCAGCTAAATTGTTTTAAATACTTCTTTAATTTATTGTAGATTTTAATAAGAATTTAAACTAAATAGAACATATGGTTGATATAACCTAAAATGCAAATTACAGTCATCAATTTAAAAAAAGAAAAGCTTTAACATTCAGAGGAAAATCCAAGCAATTAAACAAAAAATTAGGAAAAAAATTGGAATGGGAATTATTGTTAATTTAAAGTAATCAATTAATATGAATAAAAAAATTTTTCCATTAAAGCAATTTATGTAAAACAGAAAAGAAGCCGTTAAACTGTTTGTAATGTAATGTCTAATCATTTTTAAACTTTATGCACAACAAAAATCATAATTTATGGTCTGGGATTAAAAACTGAGAAATGGAAACCACTTAAAAATAGATATAAATAAAAGAAGTACAGTATTGCTTGTGCAGAAAACTATGAATGCACACTACCACCACTGCCCCCTTGTGTTTATACGAGTAATTACTACCATATAAATGTTTTCCTGAACTAAAACCTGCCTCCTCTAATGGTTAAAAAAAAAGAGTCAGCAGACTATCTTTAAGATGATAAAACTTCAGAGTAAATTGTCAGCTACACAATAAAATAAAACCTGGTAAATATTGAAATGAGGGCAACTCCAACCAATGAAAACCAGTCTGTCCTTCAGCTTCGGTGCCAGTGACTCATTCTGGGCCTGAGGCACACAGAGAGCAAACAGCAGTAATAAATGGCACACAGATGCAGGACTTTTATTTGTCTTGGATTTAGGCTTCATCTAAAACAAAGTTCATCTGCTTTTTTTTTTTTGCTTTTTATTGCACAGTAAAAAAAAACAACTGAAAACACAAATCCAGAATCCACTAAATCTTTTTTAAAGAGAGGAAGAAAAGGGGAAAGGTGGGGTGACCATCTAACTTACTCAGGGAGGATCAGTTTCTTAATCCCTCCACCATGTCCTTTTTCAGACGTGGAAGCTTCAAAGATTTGCATTCTTGTGATGTAAAAAGGGAGAAGTAACAACAGAACAAGAGACGGTGTTGGAGGCTGCTCCTGTCCACACTCCTCACCCTCCCCAAGGCCTCCCCATTGCCTGTCACTCAGGCTGATCAAAAGGGTTTGTGCAGATAGACAAGGCCGGTTTCACTCGCACTGCAAGTCTGAACATGATTTTAAGCCAAATTTGTACATGAACTTAGGATTTTTTGGTCAAGGAAGTTTTCCTTTTAGATGACATACTTCATCTTTACAGATGATGCATAATTAATTTGATTCCTTCAACAGATTTATTACAGGTAAACAGAGTGATAAGAGTGTTAGAGGGTTAAACTCTGCCACTGACAAGATATACCTAAAAGAAATGTAAATTCCCTTTTTTTCTTAAGGTTCTACTACTTCAGAAGTTACAGAGCTACAATTTGCCACAGTAGTGGTGGCACTGCAAGATTGACAGCAGATTTGCTAAATTGAAAATGTTTGCTGTGAGCTCTTCCAGAGGGAGGTCTCTCCAGCAGGGACAGTACATCGGACCACGCTTTCTGCAGATCTATTAGAGTCGGGTTGGCTCCTCTGGGTCCATGCAGGCCCCCAGGAAACGGGCTGACCTCCTGGCGTCAGGCAACCCACACGCTGTCCTGACACGGCCAGAACTGGCTAATGTCATTACGGGCCTGTTTGTGCTCAACAGCTCCCTGATTAAGATGTACAAGTGCCGCTGCTCGATGAATGTAGGAAGTCTATTAGTTAGTCAGAGTCCCAGATGGCCTGCAGAGGACAGCCTTGCGTGTGCAGCCTTCGCCCCCACAACCCATCCACCCACCACCCAACACATAAGCATAGATAAGCATGGACACACACGCACGCATGCACACACTTAATTACACTGCCTCCAAGTGAACCCTCTGACAGGCGGACGGCTACGAGCAAAGACAGAAGTGTGTCTATGTCCCAGAGTCTGCAGGACAGAGAATTCTTCACAGAGCTGATGCACAAGAAAGCCAGGCTTACGGCCTAACAAGGTTAAACCCTTGAAAAAGAGTGACTTTTTAAAACATGGAGATTTGTGTTTCTGGGGGCTGTAATTGGCTTTGCTGCAGGGATGTAGGGGGGTGGTGGTCAGAGGCAATGTGGGGGCCGACGACAGTGGGGAGCATTGTGGAGTCCAGCGGATTCAGGGGAGTAAATCTGATTATCAGCTCGTGTCAGAAGCCAGGCTTGGATCCAGCTTAGTGCTCAGAGAAACTTTCTACTTTCAATAGTAAGACAATGTCCTCACTTTACATGCAATCTTATCCCCAAGAAGAGGGGGCAAGAACCAACTGGAAACCTTTAATAACAACAAGACAACACCACAGACATACTTGGAGATGTAACCATTGGAAATTTGTGGACGATTTCCAAAGTAATTTTAGCAAAGCTGTGATCGGCCATATCTGAATTCTCTTTAGAGGTTGGATGCCCAAGATACAACATAACATTAAAAGTCCACAAATAAAAAAACTAAATAAAATAAAAAAATCCACAAACAAATGATTATTTCTGTAGTACAGGTGCCCAGGGCCGGAGTGGGACTGTCAGGACTCCTGTCTTTGTGTTTGTGTGTTTGTCTCCCTTCATCCACCAGGAGGCGCCTGGTTCTGGTTCGTCTCCTCACACACCTGCTGATGGTTTCCTCGTTAAACAGAGTGCTCTTAAGCTGCTGATTGCCACTACCTCGACGCCAGAATGTTTGCCAGTTTTGGGTACTCTAGCCAAGCTAAGTTTTGCTGAGTCAAACTGAGTTTTTGTCAACCTGAATTTAACTTTGTTTTTGTCTTTGCCTCTCAGCAGGAAGTCAACCTGTAAACTGGATTTCTCTGACCTTCTCTCCCTGGAAGGATCAACTGAGCTTCAAACTGAGCTGGGGTTCAAACAGGAGGTTTGGATCCACTTTCCCCAAGAGATCGTTTGAGCTTCGCACTGAGAAAGGGATTATTCTCCACCTCGACCCGTTCAAGTACCGCAGGAAATCTGAGTGGCAGTCAGTTTCTCCTTTCCCCAACTAACAGCCGCATTCTGGATAAACCCTGTTACGCCCTCCACCGCATCAGTCAAACATTG